GGGGGGGGGGTTAGGGGAAGGAGCCTGCTGAATGTTGGGGATGCCAATGGGGCGTCTGTTTGAGAGGTTCCTTGCCTTTTCCTCCTCTCCCACCTTCTCTCTCTCTCTCTCTCTCTCCTGGTGTGACCTCTCTGCCCAGCTCCTGAAATAGCCAGCCAGGCGGCAAGATGCCGGCCACACTCGCCAAACGGGGCAAAGAGCAAAGCCACGGAGGAGAGGGGTGTGTGTGTGTGTGATCTGCAGTCATGGGTCTTGAACTCAGGGCCTGGGCACTGTCCCTCAGCTCTTCAGCTCAAGGCGAGCGCTCTACCACTTGAGCCACAGCACCACTTCCGGTCCTCTGGTGGTTCCCTGGAGATGCGAGTCTCACAGACTTTCCTGCCCCAGGCTGAGCCAGCCAGCGAGCCAGCGGCCGGCAGGGCCCCGGGGCGGTGGGCGTGGCCAGGCCCGGCCAATCGGCGGGCCGGGAGGGGTGACGTCAGAGACACACACCACCGCTGGCCTGGCGGAGCCGGGGCTCCGCCCCCCGCGCTCTGCCCCGCCCAGTTGTCAATCTTACTGTCGCCGTGGCAACCGGCTGGTGGGAGGGGCGGGAGGAAGGATGCGGAGATGCGAATGAGGTGTGCGGGAGGCAGGGGGAGAAGATGGGGTGCGGGCGGATGGAGGACCGGGGAAGCAGGGGAGGGGGAGGAGGAGGAGGGACCCCCCCCACACACACGCTGGAGCAGTGGGCCCACCTTTTGTGGGGGGAGGAGGGGTAACAGGACGTTAGCTTTCTGGCCTCCCACCCTGGGAAGGGTGGTAGCCTTCTAGAACATTTGGGAATGGCTGACCCTCCCTCTGTCCTTTTCCCATCGACAAGATAAAAATAAGAAGCCCAGGCAGGGGCCCGGGGGGCTCACGCCTGCCATCCCCGCTTCCTCAGGAGGCTGAGATCCGGAGGATCGCAGTTCCAAGCCCCCCAGAGAGACTCTGACCAACAACAGAAACACCGGAAAACCAGAAGTGGCCGCTGTGGCTCAACGGGGCCCAGCACTCGCCTAGGGTTAGGGGACAGCAGCGCCCAGGCCCTGGGTTCAAACCCCAGGACTGACCACAAATAATAACAACGACAATAATAATAATAATAGTGTCTTCCTCAGCCTTGTGAGCTCCCAGAGCACAGACAGAGCAGAAACGGTGGGCTGAACCAACATGTGAAGTCCAAAGGCAGCATGGAAGCGCACACACACACGCACACACACACACACACACCAGTGGCGGACCACCAGGTGGATCTCGCACGCACACAACGGGTCCGGGGAAGAATATGAACATGGATCTGAGGCCGTGGAACGCGGAGGCAGCAACCACGTTCATCCCCCCCCCCCCCCAAGGAAGCTCCATCTCCGGGCCTGTCATCTCAGGGCAGGAGGCTGAGATCCGGAGGATCGCAGTTCGAGGCCAGCCCGGGCAAGAAAGTTCCCGTGAGACCCTTCTTAATCGACAAACCGCCAGGAAACGGGCGGGGGGGGGGGGGCACCGCGGCTCAGGAGGTGGAGCGCCAGCCAGCCTTGAGCACAAGGGAGCGCGGGGGACGGTGGCCCGGGCCCTGAGTTCAAGTCCCCCCGCGGGGCCGGGGGCAGGCACTCACGGAAGTACTTCAGGGTCTCCTCGATCTGCTCGGTGGTGAGGTCGACGGCGGCGTCGGGGGACAGCAGCGGGGTGTGCAGCCAGTCGTCGTGATCATAGCCGTAGATGGTGTCCGCCCTCAGCTTGTAGTGCGGCAGCTGCTCCTCCAGCAGGCTGATGATCTCCACCTCCGGCAGGTTGGTGCTGTTACACACATCTGGGGAGAAGGCCGGGGAGGAGGAGAAGGGCTGGGCGGGGTGGCTCAGTGGGTAGAGCGCTCGCCTGGCACCCACGAAGCCCCCGGGGTTCGATTCCCCAGCACCACATACACGGCTAAACGCTGGAGGTGGCGCTGTGGCTCGAGTGGTAGAGCGCCAGCCTTGAGTGGAAGAGCTGAGGGACAGCGCCCAGGCCCTGAGTTTGAGCCCCAGGCCTATGGGCACCGCTCCCCCAAAAAAAGTCCCCCCCCAAAAAAAATATAAGTAAAAGTCCCCCCCCAAAAAAAATATAAGTAAGTCACAGCACAAAGACCCTGGCTCAGAGTTATTACATTATCACACAACCAACAACACATGCAAACACACGTGCACACACGCATGACTCCAGGACACACATACCCCAACAGGGCCGCACGTTAAGTGACAACCAGTGCACCCCGCTGGGTCAGGTTTAAGAACGAGGTCCAGGATGCAAGGTGGGGAGGGCGGGTTTGTGCAATGGCTGGCGCAGCGGCCCGTGCGTTGTGCCATGAGGGCGGCTGCGGGGCGGGCGCTGGTTGGCTCCCGCCTGTCAGCCTCGCTCGCTGGTCAGGGGGGCTAGGGTCTGAGGGCCGGGGCTAGAAGCCAGCCTGGGCAGAGGGGAGGCCGGGGGACTCTGTGTCTCCCGTGGACCAGCGGAAAGACAGAGGTGGCGCTGTGGTTCAAGAGATCGAGCGCCAGCCTTGGGCCAAAGCAGCTTGGGGCAGCGCCCGGACCCTGAGTTCAAGCCCCAGGACTGGCAGAAAGAAAAAGCCAAGGGCTCTCGCGGAGCTGTTGATTTCTTTAGGCTCCAGGCTGGCGCTCTTAACCGCTGGAGCCACAGCGCCACGTCTACTACCTTTTGGCTTTCCGCTGGTTCCTTGGGAGGTCAGAGGCTCACAGACTTTTCCCTGCTCGGGGCTGGCTTTGAACCGCGGTCCTCAGGATCTCAGCCTCCTGAGGGGCCGGGGTGGCCGGTGTGGACCGGGTCGCCGCCTGCCGCTCCTCCCCACGGCCACCAGGTGGCGCTGCGACCTCACCCACAAGAGACAGGAACACACACACTGCACACACACACACACACACACACACTCACACACACACTGCACACGCGTACCCAGATAAAAACAACGGAAGGGGGGGTGGGGAGGGGGGCGGGGAAAGGGGGGGTGGAGAAGAGGCTGAGCGGCTCTGGCTCACGCCATCCCAGCCACCCGGGGAGGCCGAGATCCGGAGGATCGCGGTTCCAAGCCAGCTCAGGACAGGCAAGTCCGTGAGACTCTCTGTTCATCTCCCATATGACCCCACCGAAGAGCCAGGAGTGGCGCTGTGGCTCAAGTGGTAGAGCGCCCAGGCTGGAGGGGAAGCCCCGGATATAAAGGCATTTTTTTTTAAAAACCAGAGTTTAGAAATAAATAAGAGGGCAAAGTCGGAGAAGCCAGCAGCCGACTCGGTCCCGGCCCTGAAGACACTGGCAGGAAACTCAAACTCATGAACCCACCCGCCCATCCACCTGTCAATCAATCAATGGGTGGATCGATCCATCAGTCCACCCCTCGCCCCCCCCCCACTGGGCCATTCATCTTGCAAGTGGCCAGAGAAACCACCCTGCCCAGCGCCAGGACACCCCACCTGCTCCTGCCTGTAGTCCTGGCCCACTGGGCCCAACTTCTCGGGAACGCAAGCTCCTCCCGGCACCCAAGCCCCGAGTTCGAGTCCCAGGGAAAGGAAAGGAAAGCAGATCTCAGGCAGACACAAGGCCTTCCAGGGGGCTGTGAGGGAAAAGCCCGGGGTCTCGGCCTCTGGTGCGACTCGTGCCCAGCCCGCACCCCGGGAGGAAGGGATGGGGGGGGGTGACTGGGCCCCCCCCCTAGCCCGTCATCCACGCTCTTCTCTCCTACTTCTCCCTGACTGTGCCTCGGGGCACACAGAAGGCTGCCATCACGCCGGCAAACGAGCGCAACTTACCAGGGCGCAATTTACCAGGTGAGTGTCTGGGGGCCCTCGGGGGAGGCTGACACCCCCACACCAGGGCCATGGCCTAGGCCAGGTGGGAGGAAAAGGAAGAAGGGGTGGAAGAGGGAGATCCAAAGCGGCCCTAGGGTGTCTAGGCTCAGCACGAGGCTGAGCCCTGCGTGTCAGGGCAGGCTGGGCGGGGCGGGGCAGAGGGGGGGGTGTTGAGTCACCCCACGCTGGCTTCCGTAACCACCCCATGGGCCCCCAGCAAACCCCATCACCCCATCTTCTTAAAGCACCCCACACGGAAATCACATCGTGGCTGCGATCCAGAGGATCGTGGTTCCAAAGCCCATGGAAGTCGAGAGGGTGAGCGCCCAGCCTTAAGCACAGAGGCTCGGGAGACAGACAGACAGACAGACATAGACAGGCAGACAGCACCCGGGCCCGGAGTTCAAGCCCCAGAATGGACCAGAAATAAAAAAAAAAAAAAAAAGAAAGAAAACTGTGGTGACAGCGCTGAGCTGCTGTCAGGTCCCAGATTGGGGGGGGG